GAAGTTCAGCTCTCCATAGGCTCAATCTGAAGTGACTAAGACGTTATCAGAATGCTGAAGCAGCATTAACTTCACAAATAATGCGACAGATCCGAGTCCAAAAATCACACTCATTGTATAGCATATGGAATTAGAACAATAAAAAACAAGTAACTGTCCAAAGACCAAGGACAAGAGCAGGGACACGTAAATAAATATTGCAGGCTTGGGTAAGGGGGGAGGGATCAATACCTGTGCAAAATTGCTGATTCCTACTGTTCCAATGCCATTTTCAACTGTTATCCACTCATGCTTGTCTGTGAATTTGCGGGCTAAAATGAAACAAACTCAGGAGTTCAGAAAGACAGTAACACATTTGCAGGCTTAAACTGTGGGTTTTTTTTTACTGAAGTTAGTTTTGTTCATTTTTCTTGGAAGTTTTTTTAAACAGCACATACAAACTAGGGAAGCATTTTTTTCTGCTCGTGAGGTGCTCGGTGACAGGGCAGCAGCTCAGGAGGTGCTCTGCTGAAAGCACTGTGAGCTCCTGAGCAACCATCTGGAGACCGAGGAAGTGCAGGAGCAAAAGGAATAACTCTCCTTTAAGGAAAAGTGAAAATCTAAAGCAGATGTGTCCTTTACTCATAGTTATGCATTTCTCTGATAGCATAGTGTCTTGTCAAGCATATTTAGTGTTTGTTTCTGACAACCACTTTATTATTCCTGGGAAGGCCAGTGTTAATGGCTCCTTAGAAACAATGTCTGCATTACAGCATCTCATTCAAAGTACTTAAACAGAGCCATCAGTTGAAGTAAAAAAGTTGCAAACCTGGCTAGCAAGAGCAGCTGATTTCCCTTTCCTCCCCAACGTTTCTGCTTCTCCCTGTTTAATGTTAAGGCAAGTTATACAGGCTAATTAATATGACAACTCCTACAGGCTATTGTTACTGAAAAGAATTTGCTCTCTGTTCATACTGTTACCATGAGAAGAACACAGTAATTGTTCTGTATAGTTTCAAAATAAGTGTAAGTCTTTTCTCAGCAATCTTACAATTCTACATATATTTTAGATCTGGAAGATTCAGGGCAACTTGAACCTGCTTTTATTAGAAGCAATTCTTTTTATAAAATCATATGGAGCACCTTCAAAAGAACTAATAGAATCAGGCAACATATTTCTTGCTAACATTTTACCTGAAACTTTTCTTACTCTGAGCACTTTCAGCCTGCTATGTCTGTTTTTGCACTTCCACAGTTTCCCCATAGATAATTTGTTCCTTTATTTAAAAAAAAAAAAAACTATTTTAAATTTTCATTTGTAGCACCTGTCCAATCAGGCAAGGGATGTTCCAAGAAGCTGGAGAAGAAAACAGCTTAAACACAGCTCCCTGTGTGCTTAGTGCCAGAGTAGTACAGCTGGACCAACCTTCCTTTTGAATTCCAAATTCTCCTCTCAGGCTCCTCCTCTAGGCAGGACTCCTTATAACCACCAGAGAAACTACACTTCTGCAAATCCTTGTTTATTTTCTAAAAACTCATACATGAAGGAAAACAGAAGTTCTCACTATGCACCTGCTAAAATCTTTCCACTGTAAGTGAGTCATATTTTCATCTGTTTCTGTTGTAGTGATCCTCTTACCTAGGTCTGAACACGTGTAAAAGAAGCACGTCTCAGATAAAACGGTTTGATTTGAAGATGCCCCAAGTTTTATAGACCTCAATAGAGCCATACATGTATTTGCAAGTACAGTACACAAAGATGTTGAGTAAAGCACAGATATGAGATGTTTTCCCATGAATTATCACTCAAAAACCCCAGAGAATTTCAGCTAGCGTTATTTATACCTACAGAAATCTCTCAGAACACATTCTAATGAACAAAAGAAATCCAAAGTCTTAAATCATTGTAGGTCAAGATTTTAAACCCAGTGGAACTTCATGGGAAATGAGTAATGAACCATAAGAGCAGAGGGTGACAAAGAATCTCAAACCAAGCTGACATTTGTGATATAACACACATCACAGAGAAGCCAGCCATTATCTTTTTATGTAGGATAATAATATTGTAAAAAAAAAAAAAAGAAAACCAGAAGACCATGAGCATTTTGCAACACAGCAGTAAAATGTTCTCCACTGTTAGAAGAGCATATAGTTCTGGTAGGGGGGAAAAAAAAAACTGAGTGAAAAACGGAAAATTCTAACCATGCAACAAACCCCACTGCAAATAAAGTAAAGGTCAAATAAAAAATAGTTAATGAGTAATCTCAAAATTTGAACTTTGATCTTATGTGATCAGCCCATTAAATAAATCAAATTAAATTAATATGAGATATTTGGTACGAAAGCATACCAAATCTCTCTGTGAGCATCCTTTTTCAGAAAAGCAGCTAAGTTTACTTTAGCTTCATTCATTTCAACATGACTTTTGTTTCAGCTTAACTTGCATGTTACTAGTTCAGGCCTTCATTTAGTTTAGCCTGCCTCTATTAAGTATTTCAGAAATCTATACCTGAAGAGTGAAGGAAAACTCACACCTCCACAAAGAGGCATACAAAATTTTTCCTCTCTGCCTAAAACAAAAGCATAATTTATGTTATTCCTTCAGATTATATCTATAGAAGAACAATGGGTACATTAACTGATTAGTGAAAAAAGCTTAATCTTGACTCCATTTGCAAGTAATGACGAATAAAAGTTATATCTTTCACTTACTAAAGGTGGCAGCTAAACAGGTTAAAAGACTGTATGGAAGGAAATTTAAGACCTCTTCTTAATGGCAGGCATTACTTTTATAGCATCTTCTGGTCTTCTCTTGGACCTTTTCAACATTTCTGTTTGCTAGAGTACCTCAGGTTCTGTTTTTCAGACTTCTGCGGCTAACTTCCATTCAAAGAAAGCCTCACCAGCAGCAGATGCTTTCAGAATTAACCACACGAAGTGTAGAATCACACGAAGCCCCACCGCTCAGCCCACCTCCCGCCTCATCACTCCTGTAGCTACGCTACACGGGAGCCAGGGAGACAGTCAAACTCCTTCAGCCCGAACGGGCCCCGAAAACCTGGCTGGGGTCTCTCGGCAGCCCACGCCAGTGGAACCGCTGCAGGCCCGCCGCCCCCATCCACCCGGTTTTGCCCATTTCTTGTACCGCTGCTCCCTGGAGCTACCAACAGGCTGCCCCCAGCCGCGACACCAGGACGAGCTGTCTTCCTCAAGTTGTTCCCCACGCCCGGCCCACAAGCGAAACCCGCAGCTGAGGCGAGGATCTGGGGCCACTTTGCTAAGAAACTGCAGCGTGCAGAGGTTCAACGCTTTCCGCCAGCT